AACATTGATTTACTGTCAAAAAAGTCGCATTTTTTCACAAAAAACGCGCGCGCGCGCGCACTTTTGCTCAGATTCCTTCAAAACCAAAAAATGCACGTAATATACATAATTCTGAGTTTGCATGCAAAAAATCAGCCTCCTACGACAATTCTAAGTTATGTTTAAACACTGTTTAAATTTTCCGGAGAGTAATACGTTTTGTGGCCCCCCCCCCCTTAGAAAGATTTATCAGGACGGATACAATGGAGAGATTTATGGGAGAACGGATTAGAATGGTTCATGGTAGAACGGATGTTAAGGTGGGAAAATAAACATGGTAGAACGGGTTAGAATGGTTCATGGTAGAACGGATTAGCAAGGTTTGTGGTAAACAGAATGTAAAGGTGGGATAATAAATATGGTAGAACGGGTTAGAATGGTTCATGGTAAAACGGATGTAAAGGTGGGATAATAAATATGGTAGAACGGGTTAGCAAGGTTTGTGGTGAACAGAATGTAAAGGTGGGATAATAAAATATGGTAGAACAGGTTAGCAAGGTTCATGGTGGAACGGATGTAAAGGTGGTATAATAAATATGGTAGAACGGGTTAGCAAGGTTTGTGGTAAACAGAATGTAAAGATGGGATAATAAATATGATAGAACGGGTTAGCAAGGTTTGTGGTAAACATAAAGGTGGTATAATAAATATGGTAGAACGGGTTAGCAAGGTTTGTGGTAAACAGAATGTAAAGATGGGATAATAAATATGATAGAACGGGTTAGCAAGGTTTGTGGTAAACATGATGTAAAGGTGGGATAATAAATATGGTAGAACGGGTTAGCAAGGTTTATGGTAACCAGGATGTAAAGGTGGGATAATAAATATGGTAGAACGTATACTTCTGGTAGGACGGATGTAAGGATGGGATAATGAACATGGAAGAACGGATTAGAAAGACGTATGTTGGGACGAATTAGAAATGTTTGTTGTAGGAAATATATAAAGGCTGGGTAATTAAAATGGTAGAATGGATGAGAAAGACTCAAGGTAGGACAGTTGTAAAGGTGGGATAATGGACATAGTAGAACATTTAGGAATAACTTTATATATAAACTTTGATTATAATTATCTTAGGATAGAATTGTAAGATACATGAAAGAGATAGTAAACTTTCTGAGCAAATTTTAATTTTCTTTAAATTTTAACCTGTAACACAATGTTCTAACTTCAATTTATACAAGAAGATCTATAAAACATGAGTTTTCTCAAAAAGATCTCGATTAGGATAAGCATGTTTCACAATGATTTTAATTATATTTTCAAAGCCCACCAACCTTTTTTTATTGAGGCATTTCAAAAGTCTTGATTTTGTTCAGGCACACTTTGCACTGTTCTAGAGTTTAATTTATAACTGATAATTTATCTCAGATGAACCAATGTGCTAGATGTTGGTTTTAAAACTAATACTTAATCCCATATGAACCACTGTGCTAGATGTTGGTTTACAATCTAATTATTAATCCCGAATGAACCAATGTGCTAGTTGTTTGATCACCAACCTGTTGTCCATCTTCCTTCTCTCCCTCCCCATTCTCATCATTCTCAGAGTTATTCATGCTTACGTCCCTGCACACAATTCAGTTAGGAATAGGATGAGAATAATTCAAATCGATTAAAAAAGAGATTAACTCCCATAAAACTGAATTATACGCGAATTTTATTATTTTACACCCTTTGTCAATGATGGATGTCAAAGTCTGCTGCCAAAACTAGTATCTGAAAAAAATTGATCCGGATCCAAACCTGGATACAAGTCACAATAATTTCTTCAAGATTTATTGATTTATTGAATGAACTAAAAATCTTTTTTTGAAAAAAGGAAGCAAGATCAGCCCGCATAAAAGAAGTGTTCACTATGGTTTACAGGGTTACCCATAGTCAAGTTTTTAAGACAATGGCGCAACACAAAACGTTAGGGTGTATGACTTTTAACTAATCTTGAGCAGAACAAAATAATAGAAAGACTTTGATAACAAACTGGAAATAGATTTATTGGTATTTCGTTTTTATTTGTACGCGTGAGCTTGTGCCCACAACCCTTATCCAAAAATAAATTATAAAAGTTAAAAAAATCTTTTTTTGAAATTTCGTCTTCTTTTTGCTTATTGCTTTAACATCATGAACCATTTAAAAATTATAAAGTTTTTAATAATCCCGCGTTAGCTGACAGTTGACATTTGTGTTTTCAGAGCAAAAAGTTTATTTTTAGCAGGTTTTGGTGATCCTAAGCACTGACAGAAACGAGAATGGATTTAAACCTTAATACACTTACTTTGTCTATGTAAAAATGCAATGCATTTATTCCTGAAATTGTTTTGACCAATTACATTTAGTGCATATGCACTATATATCCGGTTGTGATTGCAAAATTTTATTGAAAACTAATACAAATCATTAAGTACCATATTTTTTAAGTTGACTTATTTGTAAATTCTTTTTATTGTTTTCAACTAAATATTCATTATCATTCATCAAAAATATGTTGTATTCGTGTTAAAAGAAAAATACTAATAGTGCTATTACCAGTTCTGAAGTTGCCAGATCTAGGGGGTGAAAAAAAAATACAAGATAATTGTATAAGCATAATTAACTATTTTATGGAAACCCCTTCTTAAAAAGTCGTAAATCGGAAATGAAATGGCTGACCTTGAAGGATTGAATCTTGAATGCTCGTGTTCCATCATAGTCTTCTCGTGCTGCTTCTGCTGATCCCTTACGCTCTCCACCTTACACCTCAACAACATTGTCGTGAACAAAATAGTCATAAACAACATCGGCATGAACTACATCGACGTGAAAAATATCGTCATGAACAACATCGTTATGAACAACAGTGACGTGAACAACATAGTCGTGAACAACATTGGCGTAAACAACATCTACGTGAACAAAATTGGCGTGAACAAAATTGGCGTGAACAACGTTGTCGTAAATAACATTGTCGTGAACAACATCGTCGTGAACAAAATAGTCATGAACAATATCGGCATGAACTACATCGACGTGAAAAAAATCGTCATGAACAACATCATTATGAACTACATCGTCATGAACAACACTGGCGTTAACAACATTGTCGTAAATAACATTATCGTAAACAAAATTTGCGTGAACAACATTGTCGTAAAAAAAACATTGGCATGAAAAACATTGGCGTAAACAACATTGTCGCAAACAACATCGGCATGAACATAATCGTTAACAATATCGTCATGAATAACATCGTCGTTAATAACTACCTTGTGTTTTAATTTGTTGAATGTGTAATTAAATAAAAAAAATACTAGATGCGGATAAAAGATATTACTAAGAACCGGCGGGGAATGAATTTCTAATACTTACTTCAGTTGATTGATAAGTTTTCTTTTCTCTGGTGAAAGTTCTCCTAAACCCTTGAGAGCTCCTTCCGTCTCCTCTGATAGTTCACTCAACCGAGTCTAATTATAGTGAAATCTGATCCTCTAGAGGCTAACACTTTTGATTGGGATAGAGCTGAGCGTAAACATCAAAACTACAGCGTTAGGTTTCATGGAAATGTGCGCTTTTGAAATGACAAAAATCACATTTTCTAGTGTTTTAGGAATGTTAAAAATATTAACAGTTTAACCCAGAACTTTGGAGAATCGAACGAATTTATAAAATGTCGTCTTGACAATTTTTTTGTTAATCTGTTTTTAACTACTATACCTAAATCTCAGTAATTGTAAAAATAAATAGATTGCCACGAATATTCGGGAGCAGTTTAAAAGAACTTCATATAATTATTCAATTAAAATACTAAATATATGCAGCATTCCATTATCAGTAAGTTAAGAATACGACATCTATAAATTCTTTCGATGGTTTCAAAGTACTGGGTTAAACTATACAAAAGTTAAAACTTCATTTTATTTGATAACTACTCTTTAGACATAAGTTTTTATCTGCGGCCACACTTAATCAGTTTCTATCTGCGGCCACACTTTATCAGTTTTTATCTGCGGCCACACTTTATCAGTTTTTATCTGCGGCCACACTTTATCAGTTTCTATCTGCGGCCACACTTTATCAGTTTTTATCTGCGGCCACACTTTCAGTTTTTATCTGCGGCCACACTTTATCAGTTTTTATCTGCGGCCACACTTTGGAGATAAAAAATTTATAATTTGAAAAAAATTTACCCTGAGGGACTCCTGAGCTTGCTCACTGAGAAGAAGTTTTTCGCTCATGTGCGCGTTATCCTCCATAGCGCTCTGAAGCGCAGAAGTAAGTTGAGAATTCTCAGACTCAACGCGCTCAAGATGCTCGCGCAGGTTGTTCAGTTCATCACCTAAATAGCAGTGTTAAATGCTTAAAAAAACATGAATATTTAACCTTCTTTAAAAACAATCCAAATTATTCTTATTTATTAAAAAACTTGTTCATTATTATTATTTATCTATTCCATGAGTACATGATTATCTATTTCTGGAGTACATGGATAATCAATTTCTGCAGTAATTGCACAGATGTTTTTACTCTACACTAATATTCCAAAAGAAGTTCTATGCAACTTAATTAACAAAAAAAAGGATATCCGCTCCAGTAACAAATTGTTCAAGATAATCATAAGCACATCTTCAATCTATATTTACTAGCTTTTACAGCTACAAGTTCAACCCAACTTTTAATCTTCTAAAGATGAACAATTTTTACGGGATTAATTTAGCGCTACTTCTTAAAATTCTTTAGTTTAATCGTCCCCCCACATCTATCGATCTACCATGTTGGTGCACGTGAAAGACAGATTAAACAAACTGCCCTATATGAGACACGACGCACGGCCCAGAAATTGTTCTACGACATCAGCAAACAACACATTTTAGAACTGTTGTTCTAATGTACAACAAATGGTAGTATATCCCCCTCCCCCCTTTTATAAAACCATTTTTTATGCTTTAAGGTTTTTTGCTGAATTTCGGACAAAAAATAGTATCAAACAAAAATGGAAAAAAAGACCCTGCCTTAGGATGTCCTATTTTTCATTCCCCCCACCCCCCAAATCAATCAAAACAAATAAATTGAAATAAAATTTACACAATGTTAATATTGGAGTAAGACTGAATCTACCTTGAGAAGGATCATGTACTCCTCCAGACTGTAGAAGCTGAAGTTGTAGACTCTGAACCTGAGCACGAAGTCGGGATACCTCTGCAGACCTAGGATCCTAAATAAATGTAGATTTAGAAAAAGGTAGGAAGTTTCAAAAAAGAGGCAACAAAGTACCCACACACCTATGAAGTGTGAATAGTTAGAAATGAAAAAAAAATAAAACTTTTCTAATTTTGTCTGGCACCAACCATTTTATGAAAATGTTTTAAATAAGGTTAAGATGGATAGTTTCATACCTAGAGCTACATATCAATTATAATTTACAAAAACAGTTTTGTTCAAGAAAAAATTTGACTTGTTTAACAAAGAGAGATCGGTAAAATCTCGAATCCCGTATCCAGGGGGGTAATATACCAATCTCGAATCCCGTATCCAGGGGGGTAATATACCAACTAAAAACTCGAATCCCGTATTCAGGGGGGTAATATACCAACTAAAAACTGCTAAAAACTATTTTTTGTTCTCAAAACCCAAATCTCAACTGTTCACTGAAGAACTATTATTTAAACTTCAAACCTTATTAACGATTGGTTTATTCTTGATTTTTCTCGCTCTGTCAGCATATCTGAGAGTACTTATGGTCTCCTCTACATTGCTGTCAGCAGGGGAACAGCAGGCGATCATCATTGTGTGAGAATTACCACCTTTATAATCAATTAATTAGTCAACTATACTAGACCAGTGCATCAATAAATCAATAAGTTTCAGTACTCAGAAAATTCAATTATCAAATCAAAAAATCAATCAACCATCTTATCAAAAAGAATCGTTTAGTCAATAAAAAACTCAAATAATCAATCAAAAATAAATTATTTCAGAAAAAAACGCCAAGTAATTCATAAAAATATAAAATTATTCACTACAGCTCAAGCGGCTGATAAAAATATAATAAAATCGATCAATTCTACAAAAAAATCGTTTAAACAACAAATCAAGTTATATACAAGACATAACATCGAGTGTAGGCTTAATTACAAGTATCCTTCCATGCAAAGATGGCAATACCCGATTTCAATACCATTAAAAGCTGTGTCTGACTGATCAAGTATGAATTGGATATCAATGTTGTTTCTTTGAACTGTTCATTTTCGTTTGCGGTTTCTCTAAAAGGGACTCAAGCGCATTTCTTGCTTATAAGAAGCAACAGATAAATTATCAAAATCAACCACTTTTCAAGATATCTTCCACATTTTATCAGAATATGGTTTAAGGGTGCAATTGTAAATCGGGCATTTCCATCTTTGCAAGGAGGGTTTCTTGCAATTACACTTACATGACCTTTCGGATTATCAATTAAAATCCAATTAACAAACTATCCAATGCCCTCTTTACAAACTATCCAATGGCCTCTTAACAAACTATCCAATGCCCTCTTTACAAACTATCCAATGGCCTCTTAACAAACTATCCAATGCCCTCTTTACAAACTATCCAATGCCCTCTTTACAAACTATCCAATGGCCTCTTAACAAACTATCCAATGCCCTCTTTACAAACTATACAATGGCCTCTTAACAAACTATCCAATGCCCTCTTTACAAACTATACAATGGCCTCTTAACAAACTATCCAACGGCCTCTTTTCAATCTACGGTAAACATATCCTTAAATCCATGTATCCCCAGCTGAATATTTCTGAATATTTCTTCATATTTTCCAGGGCATAAAGTTATCTAAATCCCTACTGGTGGAAGGGGGCTCGTAAAATATTTTTGCCAAAACATTTCTTTTTCTTGAGGGTTCGCTCTGGTTAAAAATCTCCATCAAAAAGTCTCGAACCCTCTCGAAAAAGAAAAGGTTTTGGCTCAAATACTTAAAACCTTGCCTCCCTTCAACCAGTAGGGTTATAAGTAGTTATAAAAACCTAACAAACCAACGAACAATAAATAAATTAATTAATCAACTTTTATATTAAACAAGTAGATTGAGGACTAACCTAATGAATCCTGGAGTAGTCTAGTTAGCTTACTGTCTCTGTAGGGTATATGATGACTAGGTCCCTTGTTTTCCTCGCCTTAATCAATATACAATAATAGCTTAAGTGCCTGACGTTACCCACGAAATCTTAGAAACACTTGAAATTTTTTTTTTGGATTTGAACTAAAAGTTTTATTTTTGGGTTAAAGGTTAAGGGTTTGGCCAGCTTTATCTAACATATATACCAAAAAAATATCTCAAAATATATGAGCGAAGAGAATTATTATATAGACCAGCTGCAATGCCCGTGGAATTGAGATCGAAATTTAGAATGTTAAAGAAAAAAATGATTTGATAACAAATTTCGAAGGTTGAAGAAGAGCCTCTGTTACCCCCCAAGGTATCAATGGGATCCATCAAAAATTATAGCTATGTTAGCTATAGCTAACATATATTGGAGGCGTATAATAGCTTGCTCTCTTATCCTTTATATATAAAAATCTAATTAATCTAAAACTCTGCGAAAACACCAAAAGAATAAATTGAAAAAAAAAACATTTGAAAAGCATTTAAGAATAATATGCTCAAATTTATTTCGAAAGGTAAAACCATCAAAAAAAAATAAGTGTCAATTTAATTACCTAGTGCAGAAATAACATTGCCTAATGCTAGAAGACCCATGTTTATGTTTATTCCTTCTTTCAATCTGTCACCCTAGAAAAATAGATACAAATTTTAAAACCAGAAATTTCATTTTTCAAGGAGATAATATTTTTAGTTTAAAATAGCAAAGAGTTACACCATTAGGTCGAAAAGATAAAGGGTTTAGAAAGTTAGAATTTGAGACAAGTTATCAGTCAGTTTGTTTAAGAAATAACTAAGCAAAGGGTGGCCCCAAATCCTATGCTCCAATCTTGATCTCAATCTTTTGTTAATCTAAATTTAATTTTTTTCGCATATCCCGTAAAATAGTCGTTCACGGGAGGAATAACTAAAGTATTTATCCTCATATCAGTGCCCACAGTAAATATCGAGATCAAGGGATCAGGATGTTTGTTATCTAACACATACCTTGGCTTTAGTTTTCTTTTGTCTCTCTGAACCTGCCAGATCAACGAAATGAAACTTGGAAACAGAGAAGCCATTCTCTCCACCCTTCGCCTCCACAGTAAGTGTGAATATAGCATGGGACCTGGAAAATACGTTCGTCCGTCAACATTACAAAAAGTGAACGTACTTCCGATAGTTTAGGGAAATAGCTTTTCAAAAATATCCCCCTCTCTCCCCTAAAAGAGAGATTTCCGTTGCACGGGGAAAAGTATGGCCAAAAAGTGATTTTATTAGCTTTTAAAAACAATTTTGTCTCTCACTTCAGCTAAATTCAGGGAATAACCCAATAATTTACCTAACATCTGGGGGAATAAAAGATTTCAGAAAGGAGTTTAATGATTTTACAAAATAAAACATACTAAACTAGTAATTACGTTGCGCTGTGTTATTCCAATCAATTAAATCTAAAACTGATATTTCAGATATTACAATTTATTTATTCCGGATTTTTTTGCAGATTATTAAAAAATGTTGTTAATATTTTTTTCCTTACTTTTTGATCAGAGTGTTAATTTTTCTACTTTTCTTTGAAAATATGAAAATGGTATCTCCGTTGTTTATAATTTTCGAAATTTCAGGAATATTCTCAAAGTTAAATTGGCATCAAATAATAGTTAAAAATATTATGAACTAGAAACTAAATTCGAAAGAACCGAATTACACAAATTAAAATATTAAGCGTATGGTATAATTTTCTCCTTATAGACGCAACAGATAGAAGTAAAATTATTAGCAATCGAATCAGACTTAAGGATTAAGTCTGACCCCCCCTTCCTTTTTTGCGAACATTCCCTAAAAAAAATTGTCTAACCTTGAACTTTGAAGGTTCATCGCTGTTGCAGCAGTTATCCTTCCTTCACTGGCTCGTTCTAGGAGAATCATGGTTTCCTTAAAATAAATAAATCTAATTTAGAGAAAAAAAGAAATAAAAACTCTTTCGAGATGGGAATATATATTGAAGAGCCCCCCCCCCCAACTTGGAATTCTAGCTAAGAAAAAAATGTATACTATGTAAAATATATACCCTCTGTTATCCATTATGATTCTTTGATTTGTCAATATATGAATGTTCACTTAAAATTGATTTTTCAGATAACCTATAAGAGCGTTCTTACGGGATTTTGGGGAATATAGATATATATTCAAGCTTTTTAATATCATATCACTACCTTCACTGTCATCACTGTAGACTCTGTCAGTCCTGGTATCTTAATACCCTAGAATTTATAGATCTTGGTTAATAAAACGGGCTAAGCATGTAGCAATTCGTTTACAATTTAGTTTTGAAAGTTTTTTATTGATTATAAATATAAATTTGTACAACTTTTTAAGTATTCCAATATTTCCCACTTGTGTCCCAGGACCTCCCCAAAAAACACACACACAACACAAACATAAAGCATTACCACGAGTAGTTGTTTTGATAATATTTCTTTGCTAATTCTTTTGTATAAAAATTTTGTACATACATTAAAGAAAATTTAAGTTACAATAATCAAAATAATAGGTCAATAAAATGTGGGAAGGCTTTTAGTTTGATTGATTGATATTCCTACCTTACTATCTTCTCTGATGTCCACAATAGAATCTTCTCTGCGTGGTTTCTGGGATAGAAGATCAAACAGCTGCTCGTTATATAGTTCTATAAAGGAAGCCTGAAACATTGCAATCAATTAATTGAGAAGTCATCGATCTTAACGATTTTTAACGATTCTAAAATTAATGGGCAATTCTTCAAAAACTAACAAAAGTTATCTCTTTGATTTTTAATTAAAAAAATCCTTTTTTTTAGATTAAACAGAATATTTCGGCGAACGATCACTTTATTACGTTATTTTTATATTTTACTGTAATTTCCATTTTAGACAAACTGCCAATATTTAGTGTTTGCTGGTTATTCCTTCAACAAATGGGGAATTAGGTGACAACAAAATCTACTGATTAGATCCTGTGATCGGTTTTTTGAAAACGTAAGGAGTAGTAGAACTAAGTTTGGCTAGTTGAACAACTTCTCTCTCTCTCTCTAGTTCCTAACTCTGGATATCTTAAAGAAATCTACCTTGACAACAAACTGTTTGCTAGTAGTATCCTGGATGTATTTGAAGATATCCTTGACTGAACGTGGTATTATCCCGTCACTTTCTTCGTCTTGATTTGATCTGATAAAAAAATATTTTTTTCTTATTTTTCCTTTTCTGAATAATAAATAGTCTAAATAATACTTTAATACTTTAATATTAAAAAACAAATTTTTAAATGAAATAAAGTTTTGACGAATGGAACTAAGAACAGTGAATCATGAAGAATTGTGTAAGGTAAAAACAAAATAGTAGAAGAATAATAGAAAAAAGGGAACAAATAATAAATCTATAATTTCCCTTTTTGGAGAACATTTTTTTTCTAAATACAGATTTATTTAGATAATAAATTACGAATGCAAAAAAAAGGTCGAGTTGCGTCGATTGGAAATAGGGAAAGATAATCATAAAAAATGATATAATGCAAAAAAAAGATACATGTTTGAACCCCTGTATCCACTACCTGTACGCTGTACCCATTGTGTTGAACCCCTGTATCCACTACCTGTACGCTGT